CATCCACCTTTTTTTTGTCTCCTAGCAATCACTATTATACATTTGGAGAAATCATGTGGTATTTGTCTTTCTGTGACTGCCCTATTTCCCTTAACATAATGTCTTCCAGCTTCACAAATTTTGCAGCAAATGACAGGATTTTATTCTTAATGGCTGAATAATATTGTATTGTGTATACATCTGCATTTTTTATCCATTCATGAGTCAATAGCTTCCTAGGTTGATCCCATATCTTAGCTATTATAAATGGTGCTTAAATAAACAAGAGAGTGTAGGTGTCTCTTTGGTACAATGATTTCATTTCTTTTGTATATATACCCAAGGTAGGTAAATATGAATCATGTGATAGATGAATCATAGGATAGATCTACTTTTAGTTTTTAAAGAACCATTACATTGTTTTCCATAATGACATTTATACTTCAACTAAAATATATGAGTTTGTCTATGGCCTCACTAATGCCATAGAGAATTCTCTAATGCCTAATAAGCATTTTTTGTTGTCTTTTCTGATAATGGGCATTCTGACTGGAATAAAATAATATAGCACACTGGCTTTGATTTAAATTTTCCTGATGGCTAATTATATTTAGAATTTTTAATATTATGTATTATCTATTTGCATTTCTTCTTTTGAGAAATATCTATTTGGATAATTTGTCCATTTTTAATTAGATTTTTGTTAGATTTCTGGAATTCCTTATATACTCTGGAATTTCTTATATATCCTTATATAAATAAGGATGCTGAATCCTTTGTTAGATGAATAGTTTGCAAATTATTTTCTGCTGTTCAATAGGTTATCTTTTTACTCTATTGATGATTTCCTTTGCTGTGCCGAAGATTTAGTCTGATCTAGTCCAATTTGTCTATTTTAGCTCTTCTTGTGTGTGCTTTTGTGGTCATATTCAAAGAAATTGTTGGCTATATGTCTTGAAATATTTCTTCTGTTATTTTTCCTAGTAGTTTTAGACTTTCAAGTCTTAAATTTAAGTTTTTGGTCCATTTTTAATTAAAAATTTATTCCAGGGAAGATACATTGCCACGAATACCCCTCAAAATACTCCCTCTTGTTTATCCCATTCCACCTGCCACTTTCTGAAGCAGTTCTGGAAGTCTTCTTTTGAGAATGTCTTTAGTTGCCTTGTCTTGGCAGCCTGGATGTCTTGAACTGATTCAAAATATTTACCTTTCAGGGTCATTTTGACTTCGGGGAAAAGCCAGGAGTCACATTGTGTCACCTACTGAATAAGGTGGATGAAGATGCATTTTGAGTTGATTTTTTTACAGGGTAAAAAATAGGGATCAAGTTTCAATCTTCTTCATACGGCTGTTCAGTTTTCCCTGTACCATTTATTGAAGTGGCTATCCTTTCTATAATATATACTTTTGGCACTTTTGTTGAGAATCAGTTGGCTTTAGATAAATGTGTAGATTTATTTCTGGAATCTCTATTCTGTTCCACTGGTCTGTGTGTCTGTTTTTATACCACTACCATATTGTCTTTGTTACTATGGTTCTGAAACATATTTTGAAATTAGGTATTGTTTTGCTCCCACCTTTGCTCTTTTTATTCAAGATTTCTTTGGCTATTAAGGTCTTTTGTGCTTCCATATAAATTTAGGAGTTTTTTCTAGTTCTATGTAGAATATCATTGGTATATTTGTCAATTTTATATTGAGTCTACAAATCATGTTGAATAGTGTGGATATTTTAACAGTATTAATTCTTTTGATAAATTAACATGGGGAGTCTTTCCTTTTGTGTCTTCTTAAGTTTCTCTAGTCATGTTTCATAATTTCATTCTTTGGATAATTTTATTCCTAGGTTTTGCTGTTTTTTGTTTTGTAGCTCTTGTGGATGAGATTACTTTCATTATTTCTTTCTCAGCAAGTTCATCAATGGCATATAAAATGCTACTGATTTTTGTATGATGATTTTGTATCCTACAAATTTACTACATTTGTTTTTAGTTATGATAGTCTTTTGGTGGAGTTTTTACATAGAATTATAAAGTCTGTACTTAGAATCTACATAGAGTCTATATGTAGAATCAGGTCATCCATATACAAGTATAATGTGACTTCCTCTCTTACTATTCCTATGCCTTTTACTTCTCTTTCTTGCTTAACTGTTCTGGGTAAAATTTCTAGTAGTTTTTGGATAAGAGTAGTAAGAGTAGAAACCCTTGTCTTATTCCAGGTCTTAGATAAAAGGCTTTCAGTTTTTCCCCATTCAGAATGATGTTCAGTGCAGAGATGCTATATGTAGCTATTATTACGTACAGTTAGAATTCTATATTTAGTTTGTGCTGGTCTTTCTCATGAAGGGAATCTGAATTTTGTTGTGTGCTGAGGTAGATCTTTTAATTTGACTAAGAAGTATAATTTCAGTATAATAAGCTACATATATGTCGGGCATGGTGGCACAGACCCGTAATCTCAGCGTTCAGGAGGTTGAGCCAGGAGCATGGTCATAAGTTCAAGGCCAGCCTGGGATATACAGTGAGTTAAAAGCCAGCCTGAACTACATAGTGAGACCCTGTCTCAAAAAAAAGTTCGTAATTTCACCAATTTAGACATATGTAAAGCTGTGAGGATATCTCTATAGCCAAGACAGGAACATTTTCCTGCCTGTCAAGATGTTCCTCCCTGCCCTTTGCAGTCCATAGCTTCTTCCACTCATCTGCTTCTTCAGTCGACCATCAACTTGCTTTCTGTCACTATAGATTAGTATTGCTCCAACCAATAGAGTAGAGTAGAAATGATATTGTGGGATATCCAAGCTTGGGCCAGTGCAGTTTCTGTCTCGTGTACTCATACTTAGAACTCTAAAACACATAAAAGGTCTGACTACCTGAAGCCACCATGCTATGAGCAGTCGTTATATCAGAGGCTGTTTCCAGTGCTCTCATTTGTAATGGCCATCTGCAAGATATCTTGTGTCACTCAAGTGACACTCAGGTGTAAGACATGTAAGTGAAAGGGGCTTCAGATTTTTCCAGTTTGGTCAGTTTTGCTAAATGTAGGAGGTTCCTTGGTGATTTTTTTTTTTTTTGGTTTTTCTCCGGTACCGGGAACCGAACTCATGACCTTGCGCTTGCCAGGCAGGCGCTTTGCCGCTGAGCTAAATCCCCAGCCCCTCCTTGGTGATTAATACAAGTGTCTCTGGATTAGCTTCTCCTTTCTGTATGCACCTGTCCAGGGGTTAACCTGTGGGCTAAATCCAGCTTGCTGCCTAATTTTTATATGACCCTCAAGTTAAGAATGATGTCTACATTTTTGGTTTTTAAAGATAAAATAGTCTAAATAGTTTAATGTCTCTAGCATAATAATGTCATTCAATACTCAACAGTTCTAACACATTAAAAACTGTTCACTTTCACTTACTAAAAAGTAAACTTTACATATAATCTCAAGGAATTATTTCAAAATCCACTGTATTTTCTCTGAGAAACATAAAGTTTAAACTGTCAGGAAGGGGCTGGGGATTTAGCTCAGCGGCAAAGCGCCTGCCTGGCAAGCACAAGGTCGTGAGTTCGGTTCCCGGTACCGGATAAAAACCAAAAAAAAAAAAAAAAAAAAAGAATTAAACTGTCAGGAAATAGTCTTGTTCTTCTGATACAATGATGTATACCAGAGTTGTTCTTTACCCAGTTTTAAAAACAGACTGTGTAGTAAACATAGATTTATCATAAATTTTTTATCTCTTCAAAGATGAGTCATTTGCACTAATTTTTAGTATTTGTGAGGGTTACTGCACATGTACTTATCCAGTAACTTTTAAATAACAATTGGCTATAGACCACTACATTTTTCATATATGTGTGATTTCTCTCCAGTAATTCTCCTACATACATTTTTTTTTCTGTCTTTTTGAGTTCAAACTGGCTTTGAGCTCACTTTGTAGCCCAGGCTGGTCTTGAACTCACAGTGATCCTCCTGCCTCAGCCTTCCGAGTGCTGGGATTACAGGCATGTGCCACCACCCCCGGCTCTCCTACATACATTAAGATGTTGTATATGAATAAAGGCTTAGCTGCTCTGTATCATGTTTTTTCCAACATACCTATTACACTATTCTGAGGTTTATATTTTTGATAAAGACCTTTGCAGTTACTACAAATATAAGTTTCCTATCTATATGAATTTTCTGATTTTGAATAAGGACTAAATATTGCATGATTACCTTTCTACATTATTTGCATTTATATGGTCTCACTCCATATATGAATTTATATGAATTCTCTGATGTTGAGTAAGTTATAAAAACTGGTTAAAGGTATGAGAAGCCACTTTGAAGATATCAATATGTTATACAACAACCATTGTTAATTCCCTACCACTTTGTTTGTAACTCTGTATTGTCTGTACTGTGCTTGTGATATGTTGTAAAATGTTGTATGTCTGTTAATGTTTCCCTCCTTTTATCTTTAAAATAAAAAAAAAACTGGTTAAAAGTTTTTCCACATTCTTTACATTGATGAGATTGCTACATAGTATGAATTCTGTAATGTGGTCTAAACCTTAAATACTGGATAAGCTTTACAGCATTATTTATATTTTTAGGATTTCTCTCTGGCATGAATTATCTTCTGTTAAGTAGGGTGTGAGACCCTGCTAAGATTTTGCCACATTCTTCACATTTGTAGGGGTTCTCTCCAGTTTGAATTCTCTGGTGTTTATACATTTCAGATGAGAAAGCTAAATGTATGGCTGCTGTCTCTTATGTCTTCACATCCCAGGGATTCACTTTGCTCCAGACAGGTGATCAGGTATTGCTCAGAGACAGCTAGACCCAGGGAGAAAGTGTTTCTGCAGTTCTCTAATATCACACCGTGTACAAATTTCAATGAGCAGGGTCTAGGCATTTCCACTCCTTAGTGACAACATCTCTGAATGTTAACAGCTCCTAGTATGTACAAACCCCTAGGTTCAATCCATAGCATGTTTCCAGGGTCCAGAGTGTCTGATGCCCTTGTTATGGGTTTCCTCGCACCAGGTAACAAGGAGAACAGACTGTGGAATAGCCTCCTGGAACTCAAGAGGAGACCAACTTTGGAGACAGATCCTAGAACTGTGGGCTCAAGAGACAGAAGCCCCAACAGACTGTTGATTTCTACATTTTTAAACAGTTATATTTTAAATGCTTATACAAGTACCTACGCAATATCCTTGAGCTTATCCCTTGGCTGATAAAACCTCAAATATATACTAATATATGGTTCTTTTTTTATTTTAAAGAGAATAGAAATATATGGTTCTTTACAGAAAAAGTTTGCTGGTTTTTGGTATGGTTTTCCACATACAACACAGACAGGAGAAAACAAGAGATTATAGCAGAAGCCTGTCTTGTTTTTTTTTTTTTTTCTTTTTTGGGTTTTTTTTTCCAGTACCGGGAACCGAACTCACGACCTTGCGCTTGCCAGGCAGGCGCTGTGCTGCTGAGCTAAATCCCCAGCCCCCAGAAATCTGTCTTAATAACACTTGCTGCTTTTGCTGTTTTCCACCACCATGAACTGTTGACCTCTATCATGTGCCACTCTGCCTTGGAGCCAGCTGATTATAGATTGAAACCTCCACAAACTGTAAGCTAAATAAACCTTTCCTTCCTTAATTCTGGGCATCAGGTATTTTGTCTCAGCAATGAGAGAAAAATAACTAAGATGGGTGGTAAGGGTGGGCATGAGCACTAAATTTTTATGTAGTTTGTAGTTTGTTTTTCTAATTGTCCCTACTAAGATCAAGTATCCTTTAGAGCAACTTTCTTAAATTCTCAAGTCTTATCAAGGACAAGCTTTTAGTTCCCATGTTTTCCTTTTTGACTTATATCTTTTCCTCCCCTTTATCTTTTCTTACTTATCTTTAAGTTTTTTCTTTCTACTTCTATTCCTCCTCTTTCTACCTTTGATTCATCTGGCTCCTATTTATGCCATTTCAGCTTTTCTAATTTGTTTAATACAAATTATAGGTTGCTTCTGACTGGAGCAGTATAATGACTATAGGGTCAAAATCAGCCCCATGGAAATTAACTATGATAGGATGCAAAGTCTGATGAAAATCAAAGGAGAGTCTTGAAAAATGTAATGGAAAAAACCCCACTGATTTACCAATACATGTGATGCCTGAAGTGAAAGGAGTTGGAAAGACTTATACTAACTGTCCCTGGGAAACTGCTCCCCGCAAAATATAGTAATTTACTTTTCAGTAACTTCTAAGTGAATAGTCAAAAACCCTCATTAGACTAGACACAGTGGCACAGCTGTAATCTCAGCTATTAGGAAGGCTCAGGAAGAAGGATCAAAAATTTGAGACCTGTCTGGGCAGCTTAGAAAGACCCTATCTTAAGACGAAATAGTAAAAATGGCTGGAAATGTAACTCAGTGCTTGCTGGGTTCAATCCTCAGTACTGAAAAAATAAATAAACAAATCTGGTAAGGGATAACAAAAAAATAAAGCTCTGGCAGCTTTAGGTGGCCTGCTGCTAACTTCTTATAATTATAGAGATTTCTAATAAATTTGGAATTGAAGTTATTTAAGAGATATTATAATATAATCACACTATGTGATTATAACATGTACCATGTTTCCTTTTAACTGAACATAATTTGATCTCAGTATTTGCAAAATAGTTAACATGTGAATGCTGAAAGATTTGAGCATTCCAGGAGATGCACCTATTTCACAAAATGGAATTATTCACTGCCCTTACATCATCATACTTCAAGCAATCAGGTGAGAAGGCATGGCTAAAGAAGAAGAGTTCTAAACAGCCCTCCACATAATCAAATTTTGCATTTCATATTACAACCTAAGAAAATAGCATTTTCCATGCAGAACAGTATATGATCGTAAAAATTCTACTGTAGCTATTTAATTTTTTTAATTTAATTTTGGAATGCTTATTGTAGCCCTCTTAGTGTGGTATCAAGAATATTCCCTAGTCACTTAAGGGTGAAGAAGTTTAGATGCAAATGAAAACTTGGACTTGCTAAAGTGTAATATTTTAAAAACACTATATTTATGTGGAGCCAGAATTTTGAGCATTAGATTATAAATAAGGTGACAGTGTAACTGCTCATCCAAAGCTACACTTTTTTGATAATGAAACAAGCAAATTAGTACTCTTGTTAGAGCAACAGGAACAAACCTGTCTCAGTTCAATCAGGAAGCAGAGTCTCTCTAATTACAAATCACATAATTTTGTGTGAAAATATGCAGGATGTCCTAAGCGGTAGAGGAAGGGATGCAGGAAAGTTTCTCTTTATCTTCTTTCTCACATTTCTTCCTCATTTCCCTATGATTTCCTAATGTTTCCTCCAATATCCTTAGCCACTTATTTTTATCCACTAGAATGTGAACTGAATTTAACATAAAAATAAAGCACTAAAAGAACTTTCACATATATTTGAGCTTCAGCCGCTATCTATACTTGGCAGTAAAACAAGTGTAGTTTGGCAAGAACTTCGCAGAGTTAGCAGGATAGCTCCTGGAGATACAGCATTTATGTAGAAGATATATGTATTTTCTATTTTCCTTTAGAAAATCCAACAGTATTAAGAGGTTAGTTTGAAAATGAGTGGGATTTTATGCAGAGTAGCTTGTAAGTCAGCGTACTCTTTTGAAGATATAAGGAGAACTCATGTGGTTTCTCATATCTCCCCCAAGCAAATGCAGAACAACCATGATTTATTCATAAATTTGTGCCCTTACCGAATGTGTGAGATGCACATACCATCCAGTCACAAGACATGATCATGACCTCACAGGCTAAGGAAAGGGATAAGCCTACAGTGGCTGACCCAGTGCACTCCAGGGTCTTCAAGAAAAGTCAGCAACAGAAAGGTCAGAGGAAGTGGAAATGGTGGAAGACATACTCTCAAATGGCTTTTGAAGCCCCCTATTTAAAGTGGAAAAGTATAATTTACCTACCACCTAAATACTACCTGTTCTCAAGTTCCTGTGAAATTGGATCTCAGGATAAAGCTATCTTCAAGTAGCGTCTCCACACTTATTCCAGTCATATGGGAGTCATAGTCAGAAGAAAGAGGCACTCTTTGAGAGATATTGTAACATAATAGTGATTTAAAGAATATCTAACAACAGCTGGGTGTGGTGGTGCATGCCTGAAATCCTAGAACTGCAGGAGGATAGCAAGTTTGAACTCAGCCTGGGCAACTCAGCTACTTAGTAAGACCTCATCTCAAACTAGGAAATAAAAAAGATCTAGTGACAAAATTCAGTGAAAAGGCCTTGATTTCAATCCCCAGTCCAAAAAAAAGCCAACACTTACCTGGAACTCACTATGACTGAAGGACTGTTTGGAGTACTTTTCATATATTATCTCTGGAAAATGGGCATGGATTCACACAGACCTGAATCTAACTTTGGTTCTGTTACTTTACAGCTATGTGTTCGTGAGGAAGATTCTTAAACTTCTCTAATGTAAGTTTCTGCAAATGTAAACTACTGTCAGAGTTGTTATTAGAACAGATTAGAGAAGCTGTGTACAAACACAAATAGGGTACCGGGACAATGGTCATTTTCTTCATGTGTAGGACACCCTTTTAGCTTTAGCTGACACACATTGTTTGGTGAAGATTGTCTGAGGGCTGTTGAGTAGACATTCTGACATTACCTGGTAAGGGAGATTCCCAGGAGTGTTCACAAGCTTTAAGAAGATTACATGACTCTTTTGCCTTGAAAATAGTTTCCTTTTCTATGACTTATTTTGTACAAACCTTGAAAAGTTTGGGAGCAAAACGCCTAATAGGTTTCATCGGAGCCAAAGGAAACATAGTAAGAATGGCATATGTATCAAGAGTTAATTTGCCTTTCCTTTCGGGATACTGAGATTGAAGATTTTATTTTCCCAGAAGGGTATTCATAGATAGGTATCTAAATGTCTGCACTATTAGCAGATATGTGTATTTCTTGTGAGCGGGTGCTCATTAAAATACAGTGTTCTTTACATTGTTTTGTTAAAAACATCAAATATACAGTATTTGCAGCTCCACCCACCACCAATAAAGAATATAGATGATTTATGTTGATAAATCTTTGTAACAGAGGACAGTAAAATAGTGAACAACCAGGAAACTGCTTTAGAGTGAGGCTGGTCCTTGTAATTAACCTGCTTTTGTAAGTGAGAGAAGGAACGTGAGCACAGAAGAACACTGTGACTTAGCCTAAGCCACAGCTAGTCAAGGGCAAAGATAAAGACCAGGATCAGTGAATTCTGAATCTCAGATCATGATGCTTTATTCAGTAAACTTTTGTCAGCCTTCAGTAATTTTACTGATCTTTCCTGTGCTTGTGCTTGTGGGATTCAGAAGGGGTTTTGTGTTGTTCCTGGGTATAATATAATTAACAAAAACAAAGCAAGTTAAATTTAAAATCCCAGGCATACAAATCCACTGAGGACATTTCTTCTCAAACAGTGAACTACTGTGAAAATAGAAGGAAAACTATAATGCAAGAAACATTGAAAGAACTTATTAAAATGGAGCCAGGAAGTGACTATGGAAGCAGGGACTACACACAGTTCCAGCTGCCTGGAAATACGACTTTTGATCACCTCCAGCCTTGATCACAGACACCTGGAAGAACCAGAAGAATGAAAAGTTGCATTAAGATGTAGGCTTATCTCTTTCCTTAGCCAGGGGTTTAAGATGACTATCAAGAGGTTAGTAGATTCTTGTTTTATGAACATTTCTACATTTTTATTATATTTATTCATGTATATTAATTGTATAAATTAATGGGGTTCACTCTGACTTTTTCATATGTGGACATTTCTATTCTATTTATACCTTCTTTTCTTTATTTTCTATAAGTCTTGTGGCCCCTTTTCCTTCTCAGTATTTAATATCTCATATAAATTCCCTTTTCCTGCCCTACTCAGAACAGGTTCAGAGTTCTATCTCCTTCGAACCCAAGTGTTCTGAACCGCAACTACCATTTCCCCCAATAAAATCAGTTTTAAGTTTTCAATTCATGAGTCTGGATTGATCAATATTTTAAGTTGTCCATTGTAGGATCCAAAGTGAGCTGTACTGGCTGTGCTGTATGAACATGAGGTAAGAGTGCCCGCAGGAGCCCTTCTGTGTTCTGTCATCCTCCCCATGGCTTGGGCTCGTAACTTCTCTCAGTTTTCAAACCTGTCTCTTTGGTGGAGGTTCGAAACCTCTACTTGAGCACTCTTTCACTCTTGGCTGATTAGAAATGGCATCCTTCATTTAGACAATTACGCAAATTTTGGGAACAAAAAATTTCATATTGAATACGTATAATTACGGGGAGTTCTTTCTCTGTGAACATGGTTGGTGGGCACCCATCACCTTTATGGAGCTCTGGCTTCTTTTATGGTTAAAACCTGTGGGTCTTATGGTAAATTTTTGTCATGATGAAGTAAAATTAATCTAATAATTTGAAATTATGTTGGCCTATGTAGAGATTTTTGGTATTTCAAAACTGATTTATTTGTATGTTCAATTAGAACAAAGGTTACAAAGCTAAATACAATTGAAAAGGACACCTTCATTGTTACCTTAATTGGTTTTCTTTTTTTTTTTTCCTGTCTTTTGAGACAGGGTCTCGCTATGCAGTTCAGACTGGACTTGAGCTCACTTTGTAGCCCAGGCTGGCCTCAAACTTGCAACGATCCTCCTGCCTCAGCCTCCCGAGTGGTGGGATTACAGGCATGCACCACCATGCCTGGCTTCTTAATTGGCATTATGAGGCTGCTAACAGTAATAATAATTCCACTATTGCTCTTCTTAGTGAGAAAAATTCACAGGGGTCTCAAAGAATCCAAATTATAAAAGTCTTCTGAAGTTTCTGAGAATATGTTTATCCCCACTGCCTTCTACTTCCTCTTGTTCTTTGATTTGCTTCTGTCTACTTTGTTCTTTCCTCTTTCCTATCTTTCTCTGAGTATCCCTTTTTACAGTACTAAAATGGACCTCTGTCAAAGCCTCATTATGAATCCGTGCTGACTGTAACTCCCTGCCCTCTTAAAACTGGGTCTAATGAGGATAAAATGCTATAACTGTTACATACGTCCTTCAGACAAAGGCTAAATTGCATGCTCTTGCTACAGATTTTCTAAATGTTAAGAAAAAAATGTATTAAGTTCATACAAAATTTTGATCTCTTGACCAAAACTCATCAGCTTCATTTTTCAGATTTATATCAATTAATCCACATACTTGTGGGTGATGTCATGGCTGCAAATGAGTCACAGAATTTAATTCAAATAAATTTACTAAAGTAGGTATGAGAGGTCAGGTGAAGACTCAGAACAGCCCCAGATTTCCATAAACAAATTCCCATGCTATTTCCAAATGCTTTGACTAGTACATTATCCAATGGTGCATTCAGCAAATTGATGAATCCATTAACGATTGTTATTCCTTCTTTCAAAATTCTGGCATGAAACTACTAGCCTATTAATCAATTTGAGCTTCTTAGCCTGTCCTCAAGATAACTTAAGCTCTTTGGTTAAATAACTTTCCCTGACCTGGACTAAAAGAGGCTTCATGAATTAACTACTCTAACTGAACCACTGTCTCAAATGCTTGCTCAAATATTTAAAGAGAAAGTTTCTAAAATTATGGATCCTTAAAATAAAATTATGGATTCTTAAATCTAGATTGTTCAACTCACGAGTCTTTTCATAATGGAAAAAAGGTCAAACAAAATGCCACAACATTCTGTAGAACCGCCTTCATGGAGAAGGAGGAGCTCTGTGAAATCATGACTATAGAGGAAAAGTGGACGGCCCATTGCTGGACACTAGTGTGAGTCTCTCAGTCCTTCTTTTCAATCCTGGCCTTCCTTCCAGCCATCATACCTCAGTGAAAGGAGTCACTGGTGAAGAGGTAATATGCTATTTTTGACAACCCTTAGGCTGTAACTACTTATTAGATCCTTCTTGCATATCTCTGTCTTCCTGAGAAACCACTTTGAGGATGCCAACATGTATTGCAGCAGCCATTGATGGTTTCCTGCCAGTCTGTCCATAACTCTGTAATGTTTGTATTGTTCCTATGCTATTTTGTAAATGGATGTATGTTTGTTACTATGTGTTTTCAACAACAACCATTGAGAATAGTCAATGATTATTTGATTGATCACTGATGTGTAGCTCTATTTGTTTTCCCTAGAGACCACTTTGGAGAAACCAAGACATAATACGACAACCATTGATGATTTCCTGCCATTTTTGTCTGTAACTCAGTATTATTTGTCTATTTGTTTTCCTGAGAAACTATCCTGAAGATACCAATAGGTAAAATAACAACCATTGATAATGTCCTACCACTTTGTAATTCAGTGAATCCCCCTATTGCTATGTTATCCTTCTTTTACGCTTTAAAATAAAAAAAAAATGCCACAACAAACCAATAGGAGACTAACAATAGTTAATACATTGCATATTGTTATCTTTAGAGCAGTTATTCAGAGTACAAGATATGGGCATTACAATTTTGTCCAATCAAAATTAGCACAAACCTTCCCTTTCAATGAACTAAGGGACACTAATAGTACAACTGACTTGCTTTTTTCCTTTTTCCCTTCCATCCTTTCCCCTCTCTCCCATTCTAGTTGCTTTTCCCTTTGAACAATTTCTTCCCATCTCACAATATCTGTTGTACATTTTAGACCTTATTCACTCAGTTTCTCATACCAAGGAGACAATACTATGCTTACACATGTGAGTCTGATTTATTTCAGTTATGAGTATGGTCTCAAGTTGCATCCATTTACCTATGAAAGTCTCCAGTTTATCCTTCTTCATGGCAGAGTAGTATTCTATTGTATAAAAATACCACATCTTTTTTATCCATCCCTTGGTTGATAGGCATTTGGGTTGTTTCTAAGACTTAACTATTGCAAATTGTGCTGCTATAAACAAGGGTGCACATATATTGCTATGGTATTATGTTTTTAATCCTTCTATGAAGATAGCCAGAAGGGGAATAGGTGGGTGGAACGGGACCTCTAATTCTAGCTTTCTGAAGAATCTTCATACTGATTTCCACAGTGGTTGCACCAGTCTGCATTCCCACCAACAGTGGAGAAGGGTTCCCTTTTCTCCATAGCCTCACCAGCATTTGTTATTGGTTGATTTCTTGATGATAGCCATTCTTTCTGGGGTGAGATGGAACCCAATGCTGTTTTAAATTTTTTCAAATATTTATTTGCTGTGTATATTTCTTCATCTGAGAAGTACATGTTCGTCTCAGATGCCCATTTTTTGTAAAGTGTGTAAGTTTGTTTTTTTTTTTTCCTGGTACCGGGAATCGAACTCATGACCTTGAGCTTACCAGGCAGGTGCTGTGCCACTGAGCTAAATCCCCAGCCCCTCAGATGCCCATTTTTTGATTGGGTCTTTGAATTCAGGGGGGACGTGTCTAGTTTTTTCAATTCTTTATATGTTTAGATATAAGTCCTTTGTCTGAGGGACAACTGGCTAAAATTTTTCCCACTCTGTGTGTTGTCTTTTTCACTCTGTTGGCGATTTCTTTTGCTGTGCAAAAGCTTTTTAATAAGATGAGATTCCAGTTGTTGATTCTTTGAATTATTTACTGTGCGATTTGGGTTTTGTCCATGAACTCTCTGCTTTCCCCTGTGTCTTCAAGATTTCTACCTATTTTCTCTTCCAATAGATTTAGTGTTTCTGTTTTAATATTTAGATCATTGATTCATTTTGATGTTAATTTCATGCATGGTGACAGACAAGGGTCTAGTTTTAGTCTTCAGCCTTAGAGCCAACCATCCATGGACTGTAAGTGTGCGCCAAAATAACTCTTTCCCCCTTTAGGTTGCGGGTATGTGGTATTTTGTCAAAGTGACAAAGAAAGTAAGACAATCACTTCACATCTTGTAGTATGCCTTTACTACAGTTGCTCTGAGAAATTGCAGGCGATTTTCCCAATGCTTATGACAAACTGTCTACAGAGATAGATTTAATAATTAGGAATGAAGGCAGGCATGGTGGCAGAGAACTGTAATCCCAGCTACTCAAGAAGCTGAAGCAGGAGGATGGCAAGTTTGAAGTCAGGATGGATAACTTACGCCCTGTCTCAAGATTAAAACATTTAAAAAACAGGTATATAGCTTGGCATTCCCTGGATTCAATCCCCAAGGGAAGAGTGGGGATGGGGCGGTCCTGACTGTTATAAGAGTAACCTTGTCTCTCAAGCCTACTAGAACAAAGAGAGATGACAAAAACCCAAGGATGACTTTGCCTTCCTCTTAGGAAAAACCATTCCCAAACAAAAGTTGGATTTATGTGGTTTACTCCTAGTTATAGACGTTTAAATTCTAAGGTTCCCTTGTTTTGGGAACAATGTAACCATACTAAAATGAATTAATGAAGTAACACTTGCCACCTTTGGTGTTACCTCCCTTCCCAGAGCCTGCCTGCATCTCTACAATTACTTTAAAAACCTCTGGTTTAAAACTAATTGGGAAAAATGACTGGCGGATTTATTGGGCAACAGCTAATGGAATTTGATGGTTCTGTAAACCTTGGCTTCCTCCAAATTGGATAGGATATTATACTTTGAGATTCTCTGGACTGAGAAGCATATTTGACCCACCTTGATATGGCTCCCCACTAGCTTTTGGCTTTAAATGATGGCAAGGGTTAGATCAGTGTTTCAATGGTGCCATCATTTATTTTCTGCATTCGTCCCTTCTTAACGAGCAAAAGTGTGGTTTCCCATGTAGAAGCATTAACTAAATAAATCCAAAAAGTCTTGAATGACAACCAGCCAAGCATTAACTTTGGTAAATACTGAAATGTTCTGATTTTTTAAAAAAGTGATCTTACAAAACCACGTGGCACTGGACCTGGATATCATCACTACTCCCTGAGGGGGAGTTTGTGCTATTGCATAGTCAAACAGAATGTTGTGCCTCCATAACTGATAAATTGTCAAATATCACCCACCTAGCTAATCATATAAAGAAGCAAACAAATGTCTCAAGTAACCCTTTACCTAGTTAAGAGACTTATTTAACAGATTAGCTTGGATCAGATGCTAACTAGTTAAAATCCTTAATATTAATGCTGCTGTTAATACTAGCTATTCATTGGATTGTCTGTATTTTCCATAAGATCATGACACAGTATACACAATGGTACCTCAGTTCATAAACGCATTTGTTTGTGAATGATTTGGTTTGTAAACAGAAGCGTTTGGCAAACTTTTGTTTTTGTTTGTGTACTCTGTGTGAGGTGATATACACAACCTTCAGTCATCTTTCATGAATGGCCATGAATGTGGCCATCTTTTCCGGAGTCATGGAATGAATTACATTTGTGAACTGAGGCCTCACTGTAACTCATTGTTTACCCATGTCTCATGCTAAAATGATTGCACGAATGACTACAGGCAGTCAATCATCTTTACTGGAAACACTCCAAAACACATGGAGTTATTGCCTAACCCCTGCTCAAATGTGGCCTCAAACTCTCCCTGTGTGGTCATCACTTTTTCTCTATGGAACATGCCTTCCTGGGAATGAGCCTACCCAGCTTCAAGGGACCAGACCTATAAAAGTCAACACACAGTCCAAAGATTGATCATTGATGCCTCTCATCAAAAATATCATGATCAAGGCCTGGAGACATACCTCAGTAGTACAGCACGTGCCTGGCTTGTGCAAGGCCTTGGGTCAATGCCAGGCACCAGGGGGAAAAATCATGTTAAAAAAGGGGAATATGAAAATAAAACAACATTGAAAGAACTTCTCAAAAGGGAGTGATGAGGCTATTATGGAAGCAGGTGTTAGCACACAATTCTAGCTGCTGCTTAAAAATGTGACCCTTGATAACCTCCACCATTCAATCTCAGGCATCTGGGTGACTGGAACAACTATACAATTACATTATGCCCAGCTGTCTAAGAGGTATGCATATCAAGAGAGGTTGTCATATTTTGGGGTTGCTTGGGCCTTTATGTTCTGTTTATATCCTCTTTTTCTTATTTTCTATCAGTCATGCAGCCCTTGTGCTTTCTCAGTATTCAGTAATCCATATAAGTTCCCACTTTTCCTGACTGTCTTGGATCACTGGCTCAGAACTATCTGAGGCCGTGTCTCCTGAACTACAATTCCTTAGACTGGAAATAAAATAATTTTTATGTTCTTGCTTAAGTTTTGACAGGTTAACACTACTCATACTTTCAGTCAAAGGATGTTTACTTCACAGTACATGGTCCTGCTGAGTCCTTTTGGAGGAATTTTCAGGCTAAGATGCTATACAAAAGGGTTCTAAGAATATTTAAAATGTGGAGTGGTTCATGTCCATGATGTAAGGCTCCAATCAGACCTGACTCTCCAGCCCCCAACCTGCTTGCCAGCAGAGGCTCTACTCTCAGCAGGGAACTCAGCTCAACACTGACACTGTCATCAGCAAGCACAGGATGTCATACAGGAGATAGCATAAGGAATTTTGCAGGCCCTAGGACATCTGGGGACATCTGGAGGCACCAAAAATTTACACTGGACTTTTCCCACAGAGATGCAAGACAGCCAGAGAACTTTGACCACAGATGTTTATTAAAATCTTCCTGCCTAATGTCCCCTGCCTTCTTTCTGTCCCTATAAAAGGGTGTGGTGGATTGACAACTGGTGGTCAACTTGTAACACCCAGCTGAATTGAACCAGTGTGGTGCTGGATGTGGGAGGCCCACCTGAGGACTGTTGCTGGCAGCATAAGAGGCAGAACTAGAGAAGAAGAGGAGAAGCTGTTGGGAAGCTGTTGGGAGTTGTTGGAGCTGTTGTTTTTCCTAGGGCTGCTGTTGCTTCTCTTGGAGGAATTTGTCATGCTGGCTTTCCTGATGAACTCAGATGTTCTCATCATTAAAGGAGCTTGGGACCTTTGTGTTGCTGTGAATGGCTATGATTCACTTTGGGAGACCTCTGGTCCTCACTTTGAGCATCTCTTCCTGGCTTCTTGGCCTCTAGTTGGACTCGTGGAGGTCATTGTTATGGGCTCTAGGTCTTCAGCTGGACTCATGTTGGACATTACCATGTGATCCAAGCCCTCAGCTGGGTTCTTTGGTCTTTAGTGTGTGGACAGATTTCCTGCACTCTCTTTGTATGTGACTCTTTGGGAGATTATTATGAAATAATCTTATAATTAGGTGTCCTGTATTGTATTGTTTCCCCTTGTAAAACTCCAAAGTAG